GACCAGATTGAGCATGACCAGATTGAACATGACCAGACATGACCAGATTGAACATGGCCAGATTGAATATGACCAGATTGAACATGACTTTTCGCTCCCACAGACGCCACCTCTTTGACACATCCGATTCTCTAGGAAATTTTGTTTCCTAGTTGATTACTGTAATGGAAAGTCAGCTCTATTCTTGGAAAATAAAATATATGAAGGCGGAGATCTCAATTTAGTTTTTCTGTTTCTGAAAAATTACAGGGTTCAGTTTTTTCTTGAGTATAAAGTCAAAATCTAGAATGTTAACATTTAAAAAAAAAGAAAACTTTGAAAGGAATAATTTGAGAGGTGAAATGTGGGTGGAAATGAAGGACATCAAATTTTGAAGTCAAAAATTTCAACTCAAGAAAGGACTAGGCTCGAAAAATTGAAAAGTTTTCGAAAACTGAATACTTTTAAATTAAAATCCTAGAGATTATGTCGAATTTAAAAGGTTTTTAATCTTAATAGTCTTCATTTTAAATGCAAATATGTTGGAGACTTTTCAGAAGATATTCTTTATGTTATTTGATTACTTTAGCTAGATTTAAGACTGACACAGAATGAGATTTTTGAGTATTCTTCCAGATTTACTTGTCTCTTGCATTCCTCATTCAAATCCAATCAAAATTTCACCTCCAAAATATCAAGTCCATAATCGGATTGAACATTTTAACTCAAGTACATTGTAAGATTTTGTAAAATTTGCATTTTTGCCTGCAATTCTTGCAATATGCTTATAAAAAGGGCTTATAGCAAAATGTGCTTATAAAAATCTCATTCTGTGTCAGTCTTAAGTCTTAATTAAAGTAACCAAACAACATAAAGAATATCTTCTGGAAATTTTCCAACATATTTGCATTTAAAATGAAGATTATTAAGATTGAAAACCTTTTAAATTCGACATAATCTCTAGGATTTAAGTTTAAATTACCCTGTAAAACTGGAAATTTAAAACCATTTTTGCTGTCTTTCCAGAAAAATCATTCTAATTGTTGATCTAATTGAGAAATTCGTTTACAACAAAAAAAAATTCCGCTTCGGAGAAGTCATTTTATAGACTCAATTGGCAGAAAAGTCATGTAATCAAAAAAAGGAGCTCAAAAATGGTTCCTTATTGGAAAATGTAAAGAGTTTAGCGCTTAAAATAGATTAGAATAGTACTGTATTTTGCAGCTACTCACTTGCTTTTGTTTTGCAGTTGCAATAGCACTTTTCATTGCCGTTTAAATGAATGACAGTAGCTAGAGTGTTTTTTTTGAGATTAAAGTGTAAACGCATGCCTGGTTACAGTGAATCTTTGGACAACATTTACCTTGATTATTTGCTAAGCAGCTAAAAGGCACCTATTTGAGAAAACTAAAACCACAAGCGACCACAAATGGAAAAAAGATCTACTTGTGTCAATCAAAGCGCTGAAGACGTCCTACGGTCCAGTCACTTCTGGTGAAGATGCGCTGGAAATTGAAAAGATGGGAAGCCGACTTGAAGAACTGCTGTACTTGAGCGAAGATGAAAGTGAGCAAGAGGAAGAATTATATCTATCGATCTAGACTGTGCTGAGGTGTCTGATGAGTGACGATCTTGTTTTTCTCCAAGTCTTGCAGTGTCTCCAAAAATTTGTAAACCCATCAAATCACTTTAGCCGGGTGATTTTTATTCTTTTTATAATAAAATCAGCGATATTAAAATAAAAAAAACAGGTGGTTGCCGTAAAAAAATTTTTTATGGTCACCCGGCCGCGATTAATACTCCCCTTTAAACAAATTGATAGCTATAGTTGATAGCTTTCAGGATTCAACTGCAGGATTCAACTTAAAGCTTTTGGTAAAACTCCAGAGTATCTATCTATTTTAAAGTTAGATTTTGAAAATTACCACTAGAATTGAGTGCATACTGCACATTGACATTCATTCCACCATTTAGCTTAAATCAGTTTCCTTGCAAAAGTGAACATAGAAAATATAAAGATTTTTTTGATTTTACGACTCTTGACTTTTATGAAATGTTGAAGTCTGTATCTCAGTTTAGTTTTTGCAAAGTTTCTAGAACTAAAACAGATATATTAGGTTGATGCATAAGTGTTTTTGTTCCTTTTCGTCTGCCGTTTCAAGCCAACAAATGCACCAATTAAACTACGGTTGATTTCATTAGAAAAAGCAATTATTTTTCTGCAAAATAACATTAAAACGGGTTTAAAAATATTTAATACCTGGATTTTCTTGAGAGTATGAAGTCGGGTAGTCAAAAAGGGCTAACTCGATGATGCGGTTTAGACACCTTAGCTAAAGAAAACCTATCTTCGTGTCAATAGATAAAAGATAGAGAAAAAAAACGTTTGATATTTCGCCAAAATTTCAGAGAAATTCATTCAGCCAATTTTTCCGTAGAGTTTTTTTATAGATTTTTACGAAAAAGGCGTTTTTCACTCTCGAATTTGCTTGAAAGTGAACCGAAATTCATTTAAAAAGATGCAAATTGAACAAAAAAACACTTTTTTTATAGAGCAAACTATAGATTAATTGGTGAATTTGTTACTTTTTAACAGAAGTACGAAAAAAACGAAAAGACTTATGCATCAACCTAATATATCGGTTCAATTACCCAGACAAAGATATTAACACCATATTCAATATAAAATGCAATCAGAATCCTCTAGTTCAAGTTGATTATTTCCTTCCCAATATATCATTGAATGAGAAAATTTGTGTTTTATTCTGTTTTCCCTAGGTCAAAGAAATATTTCAAGAGATGGGCTGTTTACGTGCTCACAGAGTTTTTTTTTTGAAGAGCAATAGAGTGTGAAAGAAGAAAGGAAACGAAAACGCGAGCAAAGAATCGATGTTTGGGAAAAGAGAAAAGGGATGTCAGTGAGGTGAGCAGATCCATCCTTACCCCGAGTACAACAACATTTTGTTTTTTCAAAATTTTAACAATTTTCTCCTTATCATTTCCCAAGCAAAACTCGTTCTTTTCAAATTTTCAACAAAAATGCAGCTCTACTTGTCAGTCGATTTGTTTTTCTAGATGTTAAACTATTGGAATTTTTTCAATACTAGCCAAAATTCTCTCTCCAAAATTGCAAGAATTGAATCAAAATGACTAATTGCTTTGTGATAACTAATGGTCCAAATTTAAGGTGAAGGATTGGATCATAGTGATAGAAAAGGTATTTCGGAAATGGAGAATCCGATGCTGTATTTAGTTTTCGCCTGAATCCCTTGGTTTTCGAAAAAAAGGCCCAGCAAATTTGGGAACCTACGCTATTGACTGAACGTCCGTTTTATAACAGTTCTTTCCCTTCCGATCAAGTATGACCGAATGGTGTAGTGGTAAGTGTACGCGATGAATCCGATGCTGTATTTAGTTTTCGCCTAAACCCCCATTGTTTTCTCAATTTTGCCTTTTTTCCACGGGTTCGGATCCGTTTCGTGAAAAACTTTTTGCTTTTTTTTGCAAAACATTTAATACTTGGATTAAGAATTAATTCAAGTATCCATTAACTTGGAACAATACTTGGATTAAGATTAAGAGCGCGTACACTTACCACTACACCATTCAGTCATACTTGATCGGAAGGGAAACAACCGTTATAAACCGTAGGTTCGGTCATTAGCGTAGGTACCCAAATTTGCAACGTCTTTTTTTTCGAAAACCAGGCAAATTAGGCAAAAACTAAAGATAACATCGGATTCCCCATGTCCGAAATATCTTTTCTATCACTTTTCTATCGAATCCCTTAAATTTGGACCATTCCCTTGTAAGGAAAAACACTAAAAATTCAATCATCAAGCTATTTTGATCGTAAATAGTATCCATTTAATGCATTATTTCTGAAATTTCATCATAATTCCATTGAATCTTGTTTTTTTTTTGATCAATGCCATTTATTTACTTTGTTCGCACTTTTATCCTTTCTTTTAATAGCCAAAGCAACGGAAATGAGCTAAAAACGAATGAATTCGGGAGATTTTCGAGAAAAGAGCCGATATTTTTTTGCACAAACAAACAAGTAAATAGTAGATTTTTGTTAGAATTGTTTAGAAAATTCATTTCACAGACTATTACTTACAAATCTGATAGCAAATTGCTTTTTTCCAATAGTATTAATATTTTTCTATTTTTCTCTTCATTTTCAATCCAATCTTTTGACTCCTTAAGCTGATTTTAGTGTTGTTTTGGGGGTGGGACAAATGCGACCTTTTTTTTGCGCACCTGGACATTTGCGCACCTTTTGCTGGAAAGGCCTTAGGCAAGGCCGTAGAGCTTCAAAAATACTTCCATATAAGAGAATCGTATGCGTAGATTCCGAATTCAACAAACAGACCTCGCTGACACGTCAAATTTGGGCTAAAAGGCAAAAACTACGCAACTTAACGCTTTTCCGCAGTTTTTGCCTTTAGCCCAAATTTGACGTGTCAGCGAGGTCTGATTTGTCGAAATTCGGAATCTACGCATACGGTTCCCTTATCTGGAAGTATTTTTGAAGCTCTACGGCCTTTCCTAAGGCCTTTTCCAGCAAAAACAGGTCGCATTTGTCCCACCCCCGTTGTTTTCGAAAATTTCATAAAACTTCTACCCATCGTTCTGCGTTTTTTTTGCTTAAACTCTCTGTTTTCCATTTCAGAACCCAAAAATGCCGTGGTTGACCTGGCTTGGGGTATTTTTTCGTGATGAAATTCTTGATTTTCTTTAACTTTTTCGAATTTTTATCATTAAACCAAACTTTTCATACCTTTTCCTTTTTAGTTCATCAAATTTCCCTTAAAAATCTTTTTTTTTGCATGGTTTGCCATTTGATGTGTTCAATTTGATTATAAATCATAAGAATTTCCCTTTTCCAGATTGTGCAAGAGCACATCGATACAGCTGACACAAATCTCGTCTGGAAAGAAAGCGATTCGATCGAAGAACAATCCTCAACGCCACCAATTCACCCAACTCGCACTTTCTACACAATTCTACGCAAAAAGATGGCCCTCAACAAGCTCTCAATTGATAAGGTTTGTGTGAATTTTCTCTCTCTTTTTTTTGCAAGAATTAGCAAACTCATTTCTATTGTTACTAAAGTGTATTATAACGATAATTTACTGTTTTCGACACCAAAAATAGATAAATAGTGACTAAAAGAGCTCTTTTTGACATCTCAAAGAATCTATCAGTTTTAGAGAAAAAATAAAGCAAGCGAGCTGATCATTTTTTTTTATTATGCCCCGCGATTAGGACTTGCAAACCTTTAAAAAAACTATTGAAGTTTCTTGTGTAGTATTTTGATAAAGCTGAACAAAGATTTCGATGGAAAGAACTTATACATCTCTCTGATATTTTTAATTGCTAAATTATGTTAATTCTCTAAAACATGTCCAAAGGAGATCTTTTAGTCATTATTTATCTATTTTTTGGTGTCGAAAACACTAAATTATCGTTATAATACACTTTAGTAACAATCGAAATGAGTTTGCTGATTCTACAATTCAATAATTTGTCTGGTAGCGGATCCGAGCCCGCGACACAAAACGCCAACCGAATTAGCGAAAATTTTTTGTTAGAAATTGGCTAGCTTTTAAATTTAATTCAATACGACATATAGAATAGATTTTAGCTAGATTTGTCCGGTAAACGTGTCCTCATCCGTGTCGACTTCAATGTGCCGCTGAAAGAGGGGAAAATCACGAACAATCAACGAATTGTTGCCGCCGTTCCAACGATTAAGGTCAGTTGGTAAAAAGTTCGAAAATATACTATTTTTCCAGCATGCCCTCGATCACGGAGCAAAAAGTGTCGTTCTGATGTCGCATTTGGGCCGACCCGATGGACGACGACAAGAGAAATATACTTTGAAACCGGTTGTTGATGAATTGAAAGGGTTGCTTGGATGGTGGGTTTGATAATTAAACAAGAATAAAATTTCTTTAGTGACGTGAAATTCCTGAATGATTGCATTGGATCGGAAGTGGAAGCTGAATGCGCAAATCCGACTCAAGGATCGGTGATTCTTCTCGAAAATCTTCGTTTCCATTTGGAAGAGGAAGGAAAGGTGAGATTTTGAAGTAAAACAAAATTTAGAAACAATTTTAAAGTAAAATTATTGCAGGAGTCAACGAAGCCGGTGAGAAAGTGAAAGCAAAAGGGGAAGAGGTCGAGAAATTCCGGAATCGTTGACGAAATTGGGCGATGTCTACATCAATGACGCGTTCGGGACGGCTCATCGAGCTCATAGGTGAAGATTTGTCAGTGCTTATGGGTTATACATCTGCATCGGCGCAGCTCGGTCACACATTCTCAAAATTTGCATCCACATTTTTGGTTTTTAAAAGAATCACGAAAACATTTGACCAGAGAGCGAGAAACTGTGCATGTATAACCCATAAATACCGATTTGTTTAACGATGAACTTACTTTCTTACTTGTAATTAGCAATTACTTTTGAATAAGACCAAAGTATTAGACTATAGTAAACCGATAAGTCAATCTAATAAACTGAAGATAACTCAAGCCTCAACTAAATACTTTTATACTCTAATCAGGCTGGATCTCGTGGTTATTAACTTCGAACCTAATAATCCTATTGAATTCAATTTAAAACCAGTTCCCTAAATCCAACTTTAGTTCAATGGTTGGCTGCAAGTTGGACCAGCGAGCCACCGGTTTCTGCATGAAGAAAGAATTGGAGTACTTCGCGAAAGCTTTGGATCAACCAGCTAGGCCATTTCTTGCGATCCTTGGTGGAGCTAAAGTCGCCGACAAGATTCAACTCATCAATAATCTCCTGGAAAAGGTTAGTTTGTTAAAACTGGATTAAAAACAATAACCTCAGGTGGATGAAATGATCATCGGTGGCGGGATGGCGTTCACGATTCTCAAGGTTTCAAAGGGCGTTTCGATTGGAAAATCGCTTTTTGATGAAGAGGTGAGTTTTGAATCCAAAACTAAACCCAAATTACTCGCAAAATATTCTAATCTGATCCAATTTTCAGGGAGCCAAGATTGTGCCCGAATTGCTGAAGAAAGCCGAAGAGAAAGGAGTGCAAATCCATCTTCCCGTTGATTTCGTTGTCGCCGATTCATTCAGTGAGACAGCCGAACACAAAGTGACCACACTTGCTGATGGAGTGCCGGAAGGTTGGACAAACATTTTGGTACACTGATCTATTTATCCTTTTCAGGATATATGGGACTTGATGTTGGACCCGAGTCATCAAAGCTTTTTGGAGATGTTGTGAAGAGAGCCAAGACAATTGTGTGGAATGGACCGGCTGGAGTCTTTGAATGGGCCAACTTTGAGAAGGTAGAGAAAAAAAATCCATTCAATTTCAATTTACAAATCTTTAGGGCACGAAAGACTTGATGGATGCGGTGATCGAGGTGACAAAAACGGGAGCGGTGACAATCATTGGAGGAGGAGATACGGCCACTGCGGCCAAGAAGTACGATGCTGAGGACAAGGTGGGAAATGGTTTCGATAATGAATTGATTACAAATTTTCAACTATTCTTTAAAAAAACAGCATTGTAGAATCATGTCTTTTCTAATTCAAATATAGTTCTTATCAAACTTCAACTTTCCTTCCAGGTTTCCCACGTTTCAACCGGTGGTGGTGCCTCATTGGAGCTTCTCGAGGGTAAAGTTCTTCCCGGTGTTGATGCCCTTTCTTCCGCGTAATTTCACTCATTCATCTCTTTAAATTCAACTTATCCACCTTTTTAGGTTTTTCATAGTTTTTCGTAGTCCAATCTGTTTTCTTGTCAAAATTTCACTGTGTGATTCAACTAGCTAGTTCAGTTTACTGGTAGATTCATTAGTTTGATTAAAATTTGCTTTTAAAGTTTATCTAATAGCGTTATATTGTAAAACAAGGCAAAATTTATCACTTTTTCTATGAAAGTTGTCAGTCTGAAACCGTTAGTCAAGACTGTACTTGAGCTGATTTTTTTACAGGCTAAGCCAAAACAAAGCCAAGGTTTTGGTTCAAATACGACTTTTGGGTTGAGATTTCAGGTCAAGGCCAATTGAAAGCCATTGGCTTTGGCTTGGCTAACCACGGCTTTTGACTTGGAACAGGCTAACCATGAAACAGCCATGTCAGCAAAACATGCCATTTTTTGTGTCCCGAATTTGTCGACTCGTTTCTCGGCGCTTTAGGATAAATGGAGCTGTGTAGATCAAAAAGAAAACGGAGATTTCTTTTGGGCAAACAACTTTGGATCTCCTTTCAGCAGTGGAATTTGACGATAAAACTAAATCCAAATTCAAGAATTGAATGCACTTCTTAAAAAGTTTAATATTCATGGCTAGCACGAGGGCTGTTCCAAAAAGGCAAAAGCCATGGCTACCCAAAGCCACCGGATTTGGCTTTCCAAATATGGCCATTTTCAGCTCGATTTTATAAGCATAAAGTGCATTCTTTTCAGAATCAAAGAGAGCAATCGCGATCTTTCGACTTTCTTCTCATAAAAGTATTTGCTGCAAACCATTTTACATTTATTTAGGCTTACTCATTTTCCCAAACAAATAGTCAAATGCTTCGTCATTTTTGGCGTCACTATGTCCAAATTTTTTTTGCAACAATTTTGTTAGTATTTTTGATTAAAAAATCCGTCAAGCTATTGTGTGGCTGAAACAGCAGTCAAACTCGAAGAACAATGCGATCAATGATGGTATTTTTGGGCAATCATAAATTCAGTTTTATTAAAGCAACATCAAGAAGATGATGAAATTTAGAAAAAAACACGTCTTTGAAATGTTTAAGAAAGAAATTAATCAATTTCAAAACATAATTGATAAGACTTTTATCAATTTATCAAAGCAAAATTTGACGAAAATCCAGTTTTTATGGTCTCAAATATCCATTGATTAAGAAATCCATAGTGAGCGCTTTCGACAAATTCGCCACTTTTGACTCGACAGCGCCCCACTGAATTTTGAAAAGTTTATAATTTGAAAAATTTCCGTTTATAATCATAGCTATCAATTTTTCCATTTCTCACCTCATTTGGATGAACTTTATGCCAAAGCAATTTCTCTCCATTCCCCACTTTCCCCACACATTCCACATCGTGTCCATCACCAATTTGCTCACCACGCAAAATTCTCGAGAAAACATCGGAGAAGATATTTGATGGATTTACTGAAGCTGGAAATCAAAATGATCAATTGAATTGAAAAGTTGAAAGATTCAAAAAAGTGAGCGGGATTGTTACAAACATTTTAATATATAGTATCTAATTTTTTTGAATAGCTAGCTAATTTTTGAATCCTTTAATCTCACTCACAAATCCATTATTAAAGAAAATCAAAATATTGATAGATTGGATAAAAGGGAGAAAAGATTACGGTTAGCTTACCTTGAAATAAAAAACTTTAACATAATTTCCCTTTCCCTATACAAATCCCTACCGTAAATACTGTAATAGTACCCTCACCTCCATAATGACGGTGCGGAGTGTTGCGTAGTCTAGCTTTAAACGAGTTTTTCTCGACCTTGTTTTATGCTACAATGCTCGCTTAGGTATCAAAAATAGCCCTGAATTTCAGCTATTTTTGATACCAAAGACGCATTTTTGAAAGCAATACGGGCGCTTTGAAAATAATGAAATACTAAAAACCTTTATGACTACGCGACTGTACGAGGGGGTAATGAGGGGTACTATTACAGAATTTACGGTATGCGAAACTGACCATTTTCCCTCGAAAACCCGATCCAAAGATCCCCTCTCTCAAAAGCATTGAAATTTTCATTGAGGAATTGATGCAACTCTCCTTCAGCCCATTTCCTCACATCAGACATAACAAAATGATCAGCGCCATCCTGGAATTACAAAAGTTCAAAACAAAATTTCATGTTATAATTACTGTGAAATCGTGAAATTGTGGATTCCCGGCAGCCGGATTCGCCTCTCCGACAGCGATCTTTTGGAAAATCGACGATTCCCTCCCTCGGCGATCAAATAGACGATTTTTGCCCAGAGATCTGCACTTGCGTCTTGTAAACTTGATAAAAGTAAGCCGATCCCGTCCCCCGCTTCAGGCTCTGAACGAGCAGCCGAGTCCGGTGCTCGATCTGAACGTCATTTCCAGCCGAGTTAGCACGCCCCACGCCGTCGCTACGCTGCTGGATCGGTCCCTCGTTCGTCCTGGTTCATCCGCCAGAGAGCTGGTCCGATGCGCTTTTCGATGGCTCGGCGTTCCAGGCCGCAAGTTTGCAGAGCTTCTTCTTCAGTGAAGCCAGGCAAGCTCCCAGGCTTCCGTAGTTGTTCTGGTAAAAAGCCGCAGTTCTTCGGAATGGCAGCGGAAAAGTCTCGTGTTTCAGCAATATGCGCTTCAGGAGTTGAGTCCCAGCCGTCCCAAAGTTCGTTTTCAAGAGTTCAGGCAAAGATGGCCGCTCCTGTAGCTCGTGCCGTTGCAGTGTGTTCTGCCCAAAAGCCCACCGCAGAGCCGTCAGGTCTCTTCGAGCCCCAGGTTTCAAAGTAGCTGCAGCTTGGCAGACAGATAAAATGCAAGTTCCCTAGTGAAAGAAAATCTCTCTCGTTCCCTGCTGGCCTCGCGTGCCCATTTCTCCGTTTCTTTCAGTGTCTGCGTTCTTTGGCGGAATTTCAGTGCGCTGTTCCGGCAGTGATCCGCCCCAGCCTCGCCAAGGGAGGCTAAAAGATCCCCGTCGTCGCTCATGATTTGGTGCGCCTCTAGCTTCCCTCTCCATTAATGAATAGTCATCGCTTCAATCCCTTTGTTTCATCTGAGCTTTACTCACAATCCGTCTGCCCAAATATCGCGGCGCGGCTTTTTTCGCCCCATCAGAGCGTTTTTTTTTTCTTGTTTTAAAAGTAAAAAACGGCGTTTCGCAAGGTCTAAAAAGTTTGTTGCAAATTCTTCCTTGGAAAGCCTCTGGCCAGGTTTCGGCAGTTTCATCTCAAGAAACATTTTCAAATGTTTATGAAATGAAAAGAGGGAAATTTAGAATTTAATCAAATTTTCAACTTTTTATTAAAGAAAATGTTGAATCAGCAAAGAAAAGGGTCTCAGAAAGACAGAAATGAAACGATTTATGCCTTAAACGATTGATTTTGAATGGGTTAAAAATAGATTTTTTGAGAATTTAATCAAATTTCATCAAATTTTCAACTTTTTATTAAAGAGAATGTTGAATCGGCAAAGAAAAGGGGGATTTTTCGTTCAAAAATGCTCAAGTAAAGGAATTTCCTTCACAGATGTCTCCAATAACTATTTACCCGTTTCTTTTTTTGAAAATAACAGCTGTCTCTAAAGTCCTAAAAGTCAAAAAAAATAAACGATCGTCGATTTCTTTTTAACAGCTTTCTGAGAAAGTTCCCTGGGTTTTTATTATGGTTTTTTTATGTCAAAAAGATCAAATGACATCGCTTTTAGTTTTTAAAAAATAACAGACAAAGATTTAAAAGAATTTCTGAACAAATGAAAACATAAAACAAACAACAATTTCTATTATTTTCCAAATTGTTTGCTATACCTAATAATAATACCCCAAAAAATTCAATGCTCAGAAAAAGAACTATTAAAAGTTCTTTTTCTGGGTCTAACTAGGTTTTTAATTAAAATGTCTAACTCTCCTGAAATTTTGAAAAATCATTTTTCTAATTTTTCAAAAGTTCTTCAGTAGAGAATGATCAGTTCAGTTCAATTGAATCAATCGTTTAAGGCATAAATCGTTTCATTTCTGTCTTTCTGAGACACTTTCCTTTGCTGATTCAACATTTTCTTTAATAAAAACTTGGAAATTTGATGAAATTCTCAATTTCCCTCTTTCCAGTTATAAACATTTTTTGCCAAAACAACGCTTTCATTTCTAAAGAAAATCTTGAAAAATAGAACTTAGTGAACACAAAATTTTCCTATAAACACTGAAAATCATTTCATAATTTTTCAGTCTTGGCATTTTTCACATTTCTTCTAACTCATATATGTCACCTTTTACAATAAGTTTGGGCAAAGCTGGAGCGCAAAGCTGGAGCGCAAAGCTGGAGCGCAAAGCTGGAGCGCAAAGCTGGAGCGCAAAGCTGGAGCGCAAAGCTGGAGCGCAAGCTTCCAAAGTCGGGTCCCTCTCTCGGCAACATACGATTCCATCATGTAAATCATACAAAAATTGGGCTAATTCAATGAAAACTGATATTTAAACTACGGTAGTTTACTAAAATGAATGTCTTTTAGAAAATCGATTCGCTCACTTTATTTTGATCATTAAATTGTTAATTAAATTGTTAACAAAGATGATTTCTCGAATATTTAACACCACAACTATTATTGTCTTTTTGAAGAGAAATTCACAAAAAACAACAATAAACAATAAAATTAAATGTTTAAATTATCTAGATCATTCATAAAGTCAGCTATTTTTCTTCTATTTTTCAGTAAAGAGCTAAAAATTTCGTTGATTTCTCATCATTTTCCCAGATTTCAATCGGCTATTGAAATCCCTTGTAGACTCAAAAAAAAGCAGTTGGATTGGGGGAAATTTGAGGAGAATCTCTTCAAAGAATAGCTGATTTTTGATTTTGATTCGATTTTCTACTGAATCATTCAGAATTGAGAGAAATTGAAATTTGTAAATAAAGAAAAATCAGATAAATGTACTATTTTTAGTTTTCTTTCTTTTTTTGTGAAAGTATTGTAGCAATATTGTTATATGCGGTTATGATTATCTGATTCGCCCCTTCTATTCGCCCCTGAATAAAGCATATATATGTCGTAGCCGCTTACGAAATTCAGCCGTTTACGAACGATTCGTTAGCGGCTAGCGAAAAATTTCATTCGTTAACGGCCGCTAATTAAATAAAGGGCTTTGAATTGAATTCACCTTAAAATACAAGAAAACCTTTTTGGGCAAAGGTGGTGCTAACGAACTGTTCTAGGTTGCCAGAGTTAAATCTCTATAAAATTTCCCAGAAAATGATTAAAAACCTTTTAAAAACATGACACCTTACTGTGAAATAATGTTTCAATCCAAATCAGATATCCGATTTGGATTGAAATCCAAATCGGATATCCGCGGTGAGTTCAATCCAAATCGGATACAACATGATGAAAATCTCGATGAAAATCGAGTGGATTTGAGAGAATTTCGTACTCTTTCATGGGGGAAATTTCCGTTTTATTTGATTCTATCGATTAGTATTCTTCATTTAAGTGAGAGCTCAGACAAAATCCTCATCAAAAATCCAAAAATAAAGCGATATACTTACCCTAGGTAAACCCAACCAAGAGATGAGTTTGTTACCAAGAAACTCAGCTCACTAAACAGGCGTTTTTGTCTTGTTTTTAAGCAAACTGGAGTGCACATAACATTTCGAGAATCAAGTTTCTTGTCATTGAAATGAAAATTGTTAAAAATTTCTCTATTTCTTTTGCTCTTAAACGATTTGCGCTTGATTGAGTCTCTTCGATTCAACGCTGCACAAGTTGTCGCCCATTTTCCACTGAAATTGCTTCAATTTTTCTCCAATCATTCGATCATTTCTTACCTTAATATAGCCGCCTTCTCCCCAATCTTCGCCCCAAGAATTCTTGATGATCCAATACGGTGTACCATCGTCTTCTTTTCCTAAAAACTCCAACCAATCTTTTTGTTATTTGCAATGATTTAAACTCTAAATTCCGACTACATTGATTTGTTTAGATTATGCTTAAAAGTCTACCGTATCCAACGATGATCATTGCATGTCCACCAGCTTCATGATCTGTGCAAGGAGCATCGAATAAACCACCAGCATAGTAATCAAATTCTGGATTCAAATAGACACCTGGAATTTTTCAGATTCTTTTCCTGGAAACAAACGCTTTCTGGCACACTGGCTTTCTATTCTTGGAAACAAACGCCTTGTGGAACACTGGCTTTCTATTCTTGGAAACAAACGCCTTCTGGAACACTGGCTTTCTATTCTTGGAAACAAACGCCTCGTGGAACACTGGCTTTCTATTCTTGGAAACAAACCCCTTGTAGAACACTGGCTTTCTATTCTTGGAAACAAACGCCTTCTGGAACACTGGCTTTCTATTCTTGGAAACAAACGCCTCGTGGAACACTGGCTTTCTATTCTTGGAAACAAACCCCTTGTAGAACACTGGCTTTCTATTCTTGGAAACAAACGCCTTCTGGAACACTGGCTTTCTATTCTTGGAAACAAACGCCTCGTGGAACACTGGCTTTCTATTCTTGGAAACAAACCCCTTGTAGAACACTGGCTTTCTATTCTTGGAAACAAACGCCTTCTGGAACATGGCTTTCTATTCTTGGAAACAAACGCCTTCTGGAACACTGGCTTTCTATTCTTGGAAACAAACGCTTTTCTGGCACCCTATTCCCAGTAATGAAAGAGGGATCAGTTTGTATTTCAAAGTCCAATTGACTAACCAACAGAAATCGGTCCATCTTGAATCAAAGCATCCTTTATCTCATCAACTGTTGACCCGCGGAGACTGACGTGTGAAGCGACTTTGACTTTAGGAGAAATCTTCAAAAAATTCAATCAAATACCGTATTTTCTCTAATAGTAGTGCACCCAGCCGAGTTGATCACTATTTTACGGTTTGCAAGCTTTCCCAGAACCTCAACACTCAAATCCTCCACTAGATCGTCAGCTACATTTTCCGATCCCATATCGATAGGTTCTGATAAGTGGTTTTCGAGACATCGAGGAATTTCGGCAAAGCTTAGGGTGAACTATTATTAGAGAGAATACGGTTTATTTTTGTAGATTTTACAGAAGAGCTTTTGCTCAACACTCAAATTCCCCACAAGATCTCATTGTCAGCTACATTTTCCGGCAAAGCTTAGGGTGAACTACTATTAGCGAGAACACATTTATATCTGAAAGTTTTTAATCTAAAAAACGAGTTAAATTTTACAATTTTCTTGCATCCCGCGTATGGTTTTGCACCGTACTGTAGTAGTGCAAAGCTTAGGGTGCACTACTATTAGAGAGAATACGGTAAACAAAATCACATTTTGATCTGAAAGTTTTTAACCTTAAAAATCTAAACTTTACAATTTTCTTGCATCCCGCATCTCGGGGAGTGATCGTTTTCGATGGTGTATACGGGTTTTCCGCTTCAGTCACCAAACTGTTATTCAAGAAATATCTAAAAATGATTCGTAAACATAAAAGAACCTTAAATAAATCTATAAACTTAATTCAAGATTTGTATAAAAAATTTATTGAAAAACTAGGGTTTTCTTTTGAGTTACGACGAATTTGGTGCAGTTTTTTTTTGAGAATAATCTATCGCTATTTGATTCTACCATACTCTAAGTTCATAAAGTTAATGAAAAATTGTCAAAAATATGCACAGAAGAACAAACTCACTCGAAAACATCCTCGCTTTTTCCTCCTTTGCAAATATGCAGTCGATCCGGTGAGACACAGGTCATAATTTGCTAAAGATACAAGAAAGAATAACTTTTTTGATCAAACTGGAACTCATGCTATTGTTTTATAACTTCAATCTCCTTGAACTCACTTGTTCCGACAAGTCGAGCAACTCGCCCGGGTGCTTTCGCGCGTGCTGAGCCTCGAGCACTCCGTTGGCGCTGAAAGATTTTGATAGACCCAGTTGTACTTTGTGCTCATCTAAACACTCAATCTAGCAACGAGAAATCTCACCTGAAAGTCCAGCAACTTCCACAAGTTGATTGATCTTTGACCGGTGTGATAACACCATAATCTCTCCAGTCGAATTTCTCGGGCAATTTGTCATCAATTCGTGGATCATATGGCTCTTCTTCAGTCTAAAACGGAAATTTATAAATAGCTTTCTTTAATTCAACTACATTTGTTTCCTCAGCCCACTCTTCATTTTCAATTGGCTCTTCTTCCTCAGCAACTTCACTCACTTCAGCCTCTCCGGTATCTCTTTTGTGTTTCTAAAATTGGAATGAATAGGAAATTCGACCCATAATCTATTTTATTTAGGTTTTATCCATTTGCTAGGCACAAATGAGTCATTTGTGCTCAATTTACGAGGTCAAAACTTGAGATTATTGCAGTCAAAGAACAGATTTCATTGAATTCTTGAATCAAACTCTAAACCATAACGATTACTTCAATGCAGCTACTATATTGAATCGAAAATCCCCATCAAATCCCATCTCCAAACCTTTCCCGTCCTCTTCTGTTGTCTCGCCGCTTTTGCCTGTGCTCTTGCCGCTTGTTTCCCGGCTTTTTTCGCCGTTTTCTCTTTCTTTCTGTTCAATCTTTTCTTTTTCTCTCTTCTTGTTTCGCTTTTCGTTTCGCTTGTCTTAACTTCTTTGCCTCCTAAATAAATTTTTAAAATAAAATCTTAATAAATAAACCTTTCGATCAATAGCGCGAGTCTTTGAGTTGAATTTCATCGAAGTCGGAGAGATCAGAACCGTCTGGAATATTGAAAAGCATTTAAAAAGCATTTAAAACAGATAATCTATGGAATTAGAGATCAGAACCATCTGGAATATTGAAAAGCATTTAAAAAGCATTTAAAAAAGATAAAATCGATAGAATACCTTGTAAAAGTAAACTTTGGAATGCACGAATCCCTTTACTAAAAAAGAATTGAATAGTCTAAGCCAAAAAAGCGAAAATTTACGGTTGAGCACGTAGATTTTGGCGTGTACTTTGTGCTCTGTAAACGAACGCTTTCTAACGCAAAACACTGAACTAAGTAGGCTAGAAAGCAAGCGTTTATCAAAAGTATTAGATGCTCTAGAAAAACATAGGTTTTCTAAACCGTACCGATTGAAATTCCTCCTCGGGTAGAGCCATGAATCGATTCATTTTCAGTTTGAATTTCTTTCCTTTATTTTTTTCTTGTAATGCCTTCAATTTGCTATTGTTTTCTTTAAAAGCTTTAGCCGCTTTTTTGAAATCCTTTTGCTTGATCTTTTTGTTGAATCTAAAACAAGAAATGATTTTAAAAAGTGAAAAAATAAAACCTTTTATTGAATTTCTTAAAGTCTTCAACATCAGATCCAAGATCTTTCGTCAAATCATTTCCCAAATTGTTCACATCAACTACCTATAATAACATTTATTGCTTTTATTTTCCTACAGGACATTCAATCATTCATTTAATTATTTACATTGTATTAGACTCAAAATGAGTAACCAGACTCTCGTAAATTTGATGTTAGATAAGTAATCGAATACTGATACGGCTTCAAAAAGCTCTTCGCTCAATGATCAGAGCTTAAAACTAGTGCTAATCTAGTACTAGATGAATTCATCTGCTGGCTAGTGCAATGACAATACCATCATCAATACCAGTAGCATCAATAGCACCCATTGCTTAAAATAGAGCAAGCCTTTGCGCCCCCATTAAACTAGATTCATTTTTTTAGATCTTATATTGAAAGTCTTTGCTATTTCATTCAATAAAATTCAAAGAAAGGAATTAAAAGATGATTATTTATCATTAATTTTCTAATCTAATCATTAATTATCATTAATCTAATCATTAATCTAACCATTAATCTAATCATCAATCTAATCATTCTAATCATTAATCTAATCATTCTAATCATCAATCTATATCATCAATCTAAGTATTAATCTAACCATTAATCTAACCATTAATCTAATCATTAATCGAATCATTCTAATCATTTTAATCATTAATCTAATCATTAATCTAACCATTAATCTAATCATTAACCTAACCATTAATCTAACCATTAATCTAATCATCAATCTAATCATTCTAATCATCAATCTATATCATCAATCTAAGCATTAATCTAACCATTAATCTATAAATTCTTACATGTTCTCCCGAATCATCATCGGCTAAACTGATGACGACAAAGCCGAGAAGGGACACCAAGATCAGGAGAGATCTCATCCTGAAAATCAAAGATGATCTTATACTAAAAACCTATCAATTTTACGCACTTTACCACTTATATATCGCATAGAGGCAAGAGTTCCAGTGTCCCGTTCAATTTCTCTGTCATTTTTCAATTCCATTATCAAATCCTACGAGTATACCATCAAAGAAAAAATCAAACACCAAAAGGAAACTAAAATTTTGAAAGTTTCCTGGTTTGGAAATCAAAAATCGCTTGAGAAAGAGATTTTATAGGATAAATGCTAGATTACTGTAGATTTAATGCTAGATTACTGTAGTTGTGTTTGTCAAAAGATCAGATTTCCATTCCCGTATTATTTTTTTATAAAAAAAGTGACTTTCAATTGTAATGTATAATTAATTTTTTATATAGAAATATATAAATAAATGCTCACAAAGCAATATCACAATTTTATTATGATTATTTTAAACCAAATACTTTTGATAAAGAAACTCAGCTTTTCTTTTTTTTGAATTTTTTGAATTTTCTATTTTTATACTAAGGATTCAAAAGAATAATGCTTTTTTTAAAATTTCCAATTTTGTTGATTTGTTTTATCTATCTGATTGTCAGAAGATTCCCAGTCATTCATCTATCTATCTGATTGTCAGAAGATTCCCAGTCATTCATTTATCTATCTGATTATCAGAAGATTCCCAGTCATTCATCTATCTATCTGATTGTCAGAAGATTCCCAGTCATTCATTTATCTATCTAATTATCAGAAGATTCCCAGTCATTCATCTATCTATCTGATTGTCAGAAGATTCCCAGTCATTCATTTATCTATCTGATTATCAGAAGATTCCCAGGCATTCATCTATCTATCTGATTGTCAGAAGATTCCCAGTCATTCATCTATCTATCTGATTGTCAGAAGATTCCCAGTCATTCATCTATCTATCAAATTTTCAGAAAAATTGATGTTGGAGTTTTTGAGAAATTACACTTTAAAATTTAATAAAAAATTGAACAGATTAGTCGGCTAACTTAATAGAAAAAAAAAGTATAAACTAGAAAACTTTTTTGTTTATCTCAGTATTGATTATTTGTTTATATAAAAAAACAGAAAAACTAAATATTTAACAGAACAAGTTTGACGCAATACTTTCTCTAAGTTTCTTTTTAAATCGAGTTATTAGATTTTAGAAACGTTTTACCCCTTAATGTTCGCAATATTCCCACCTTGGCTAGATTTAAAGCCACAATTTCGGCAATTCATTTAACTGCTCTGTGATTCTTTCTTAAGGTATCTTTTTAACTTTTTTGTTTGTGAGTGGTGTTCTGGATGATTATTTTGATCTTGTTTTCTCGCTATTCAACTCAATAAAGCATATATCTAACTAAGTATTTTTAGGTAAACCTATTTTGTGTGAGAAAGAAAGGTTAAAAAGGGGTAATAGCACCATGTTTTTTGTTATAACTTGATCACTAACCCAACCCCCTTTTCAAGTCTCTTTGAATTAGCCTCTACCTCGCTCCAGAAGGCCTCTAGGGGCCCTTTTCTCATACGCCAACTTTCCATCTCTTCTAAAAGCTTCCACAGTTTCTTCTAGTTATTAAATTGTGGAACCTTTTACCCCCACATGTTCGTAATATTCTCACCTTGGCTAGATTTAAAGCCACAATTTCGGCAATTCATTTAACTGCTCTGTGATTCTTTCTTAAGGTATCTTTTTATCTTTTTTGTTTTGACTGGTGTTCTGGATGATTATTTTGATCTTGTTTTCTCGCTATTCAACTCAATAAAGCATATATATAGCTAAGTTAACCTATTTTGTGTGTGAAAAAAGGTTAAAGAGTAATAGCACAATGTTTTTTGTTCTAACTTGATCACTAATCCCGATCCTCTTTTTTCTAGTCTCTTTGAATTGGGTTCTCTCTTTGAATTGGCCTCTGTCGTTCTTCTCTCTAAGTTTTTATCAAATGAATTGGGCTCTCTACCTCCCTCCAGAAGGCCTCCAGGGGCCCTTTTCTCATACGCCAACTTTCCCTCTCCTCTAAAAGCTTCCACAGTTTCTTCGAGTTATTAAATTATGGAGTCTTTTACCCCCTCATGTTCATAATATTCCCACCTTGGTTAGATTTAAAGCCACAATTTCGGCAATTCATTTAACTGATCTGTGATTCTTTCTTAAGGTATCTTTTTATCTTTTTTGTTTTGACTGGTGTTCTGGATGATTATTTTGATCTTATTTTCTCGCTATTCAACTCAATAAAGCATATATATAAGCTCAAAAACTTTATCGGAGATCTAGAAACAAAATTTCTTGTTTTACTTCGGAAACAGGGTTTTAGCTGACCTAAATTTGTCACTATCGCTCGTCTAATCGTTCAATGTAAAAGATGAGCTCAAAATTTACATCTTTATAATCAACACTTGAACCATTTTAGCCCTGATTCTTTTTGCAAGTGGAGTCTCATGGAGGTATTTCGTAACATTGATCGAAATCAATGTTCTTAAAAGTACTACGATCAAAGTTGAAGCAAGAAATCATCTCTCTGCTTTGATAGTTGTCCAAATCATCATAGAAAATAAAAACTATTCACGATCTTCAATGGTCGAGGACGATTAGCTCTTTAGCTTTCGTTCTGTACGTGTAAAGAATCTATCCATCGAGCCCAAAGGCGGCAAAAATGTTCCCCAAAAGGCGGAAGATCAGCGGAAGAGTGGAGAGACGGCAAGTGATCACCTCGGGAAGACCTTCGGTGACGAGATGATAGTCGGAACCGAGAGAATGGGCGAGCGACACATCGTCTGTGAGCACAGGTGGGGATAGAGCTGGCTAGGCGAGTGGGCGAGACCGGCAGCATCGAGCACGAGTATGGTCGGGCACATCGTCAGAGTCTGCATTTCTCAAACTCTCTAAATCAAGCTGAGTGAAAGTAGCTTCTCAAATGCATACAATTCATCTAGTACCGACTCTTTGATATTCTATATTTCTTTCAAAATTTATATTGTTCTTTTGTTTTCTTAATTCTATAATTTGAATCTGATTTGAATCTTTTATTTTGAAAATCTACAAAAATAAACCGTATTCTCTCTAATAATAGCTCAGCCAGATCATGTTTTATTAAAAATTTAAAACAGTACCACTCATTCCATCTTTTAGACCCTCTCCAATAATAATTCACCCAGAGCGTCGTCTAAATTGATCGATATCTCGAGAACCGCTTATCAGAACCTAACGATCTGGGTCAGAAAATGTAGTTGACGATGAGATCTTGTGAGAGATTTGAGAGTTGAGGTTCTGGGGAAGGTTGGAAACCGTAAAATCGTCATCAACTTGGCTCGCCGGGGTGCACTACTACAGTACGGTGCAAAACCATACGCGGGATGCAATTGTAAAATTTAACTCATTTTTTAGATTAAAAACTTTCAGATATAAATGTGTTCTCGCTAATAGTAGTTCACCCTAAGCTTTACCTAAATTGATCGATATCTCGAGAACCGCTTATCAGAACCTATCGATGTGAGGACGAAAAATGGAGCTGACGATCAGATCTAGTGGGGGATTTGAGTGTTGAGCAAAAGCTCTTCTGTAAAAGCTTAGAAACCATAAAATAATCACCAACTCGGCTTGCCAGGCTGCACTACTATTAGAGAAAATCCGGTATTTTAAGAAAATAAACCATATTCTCTCTAATAGTAGTGCACCCTAAGCTTTGCCTAAATTGATCGAAATCTCGAGAACCGCTTATCAGAACCTATCGATGTGGGTCGGAAAATATAGCTGACAATGAGATCTTGACGATGATTAGAGTCTTGAGCTTCTGTAAAAGCTTGGAAACCGTAAAATCGTGATCAACTCGGCTGAGTTACTATTAGAGAGAAGGACGGTAATAGCACCATTTGAAAGAACAAAACAAACAAAATAACCGTAATGAGAAATGTTGGTCGTTGAAATTTGACGAAAAAAAAAAATGATGAAATGAGATCAGAAAATTGGGGTAAAGGAATGAGAATCACAAAAATGAATAGAAATTTGAAAAATTGAATACTACAACCAATAGCCAGTGCCATTCATACCGCATTCTACATGGATTGACGTGTCACTGAAATGGTTTATCCTCTTTTTTTCCATCCACCATTCTTAACAACAATCTCGCGACTTTGTACTCTTTGTAAACGCACCGTTTCTGGCACAATCGTTACACTATTAAGCCTGATTTAATCAGCTAGAAAGACTGCGTTTACCAAACTCCAAAGTACACTATTCTTTTGTTCTTCTTTTGTTCAACTCACATTGTCGGCCGTCGATCTTGTTGTACTCGGCTTTCCGATGGATTTTTTTTCTTTATCCTAAAATTTGAAACCTATCAATATTATTAAATTATTCAACTTTTAGATAATGAAAGCATTTTGCTGCTGCCCAAATTGCCGATCCACAAATCACAATTCCCACATAGATTGAAATAACCATTAGAATTTGATCTGAAGTCGATTTTCACTTCAAAACCCAATCCCTTTACTCTACCAAATCTCCGGAATCGATCTTGTTTAAATTTGAGCATATAATAGAGAGTGTAGCTGGCGAGGGAAAAGAAAAGAACGCATTGGATGATCTGAAATTCTTATTGCAATTCATCGTCAACAACGTCAACGTCAAGGTCGACGTCAACGTCAACCTCAACGTCAACATCAACGTCAACGTCAATATCAACGTCAACATCAACGTCAACATCAACGTCAACGCCAACATCAACGTCAACGTCAACGTCAACGTCAAGGTCGATGTTAAAGTCAACGTCAATGTCAACCTCAACGTCAAGGTCGACGTTAACGTCAACGTCAATGTCAACGTCAACCTCAACGTCAAGGTCGACGTTCTGGAACAATGAATTCTCTAAATTCTTGCAGAAATACTACCAAAACAAGAAAAATTCGAGATTTCAATGCACTGAAATGTATAAAGTTGTCTAAAGTACAAAGAAAAACCATTTTTGCACTCACCTCAGTAATAATAAACGGAATCATCATCCATGCTTTCTCATAATAAATCCCAATCAATAATAGAATGGCGACCACTGTGTTCACAACGATCAGAATGATATCCAACCAGAGATTGACTGAATAGATCCCGAAAAACATGCAAATCGTCGAGAAAGCCGAGAGGATCAACGCGGAAATGCCCACGTACATTGTGGCTGTCTGAAATCGAATATGGATATCATTTTGTGTTTATACAATAAGAAATCGACTTTTAACTACCGTAAATACTGTAATAGTACCCCATCCCCCCTCGTACAGTCGCGTAGTCGCAAAAGAAATGGGATCCAAATTCAAATATCGATATCATTTTAGATTTTAGGTATTTCATTTTTTTTTCAAAGCGCCCGTACTTTCAAAAAATGCATTTTTGGTATGAAAAAATAGCTGAAATACAGGGCTATTTTTTGAAACCTAAACGAACATTGTAGCATAAACCAGTGTCGAGAAAGACTCGTTCAAAGCTAGACTACGCAACACTTCGCACCGTCATTATGGAGGTGAGGGTACTATTACAGTATTTACGGTACCAAAATCCCCGTTTATGCTACAGTGTTCGTTTAAGTATTAAATGAAAGCTGAAATTCAGGGCTATTTTTTGAAACCAAAACGAACATTGTAGCATAAACCAGTGTCGAGAAAAACTCGTTTTTTCGGGATGGTTGCGTAGTCTAACTTTAAACATCCCGTTCTCCGCGCTGCTTTATGCTACAATGTGCACTTTAATATCAAAAAATAGCCCTGAATTTCAGCTATTTTTTGATATATGTTGTAGCATTTTAGCATAAACCAGTGTCGAGAAAAACTCGTTCAAAGCTAGACTACACGACACTCCGCACCATCATTATCTTTGGTATCAAAAAATAGCTGAAATTCTGAGCTATTTTTTTGATAAAAGGGCTAAGCACAGGGGGAGAACACATTTGCATAAGAATAGACAAATCATTCAATAATAACAATGATAACTAAAGTATCAGTTTGGCTCGGAGATGACAGTATGAAAAAATAGCTGAATTTGAGCTATTTTTTGATATCTAAGCGAGCATTGTAGCATAAACCAGTGTCAAGAAAAACTCGTTCAAAGCTAGACTACTCCGCACCGTCATTATGGAAGTGGGGGTACTATTACAGTATTTACAGTAGTCATTTGTACAAGTGATAGCCTCAAAATTCATTCACTAAGTCATTTTACAAGCTGAAATGCATTCAAATATAATTCTGAATGTAATTTTATTCAAGCTGGATATCACAAATTCATTTTATCATTTTTTTCTTTGATCAATTTCTATATAAAATGATTTAAGGGTATGCCAGATGGCGAGTGTTTCCGCACAAAGAACATTTCTTTCTTTAAGGGATTTTAGATGGTAAAAGATATTCAGTTGAAAGATATTCAGTTGTAAAGCTTAAAAAACAAATGAAATCTTATCGATTTCCTAGTGAAAGTCTAAAATGAGAATCTATAAAGAAAAATCGAGTTAATCCAGTGATTCAGTGAACCCTTTCACTCCAATCTTCTCAATTTTCCGCTTCAAAACACCTGCCTTTCCTTAAAATCACGAATTTCATGACAAATTTTAATTTTTTTATTGACTTTCTTGAAGAATTGTTTGCTCGAGAAAAATCGAGTTTTATTCAAGTTTTATTGCAACTGTGACTACAAAACTTTGAAACTAATGACAAAATCGAGTTCAAACAATTCTCACAAACTTTTCTTGACACTTTTAACCTAATTGGACCTGACCCTCTTGTCAATTGGCACTCATCAATTACGACAAGCAACTTCTCCTCTTTTCTTGATGAATTTGATGAGATCAGTGCCATTTCCTATCCTTGTTCCTTGTCTTTTTCGAAAAATCCCCCCTTTTTTCCTAAGACTACCCTCAACTTTTTTGCCCGTTTCACCTCTTTTCCTTGGGTGTAACAGGCGTGAGATCTTCTCTCCAGCTTCACCACCCCAAAAACACCACAAATCCTACCTTTTTCAAAGTTTTTCAAGCAATCATCGATCTAACATAAATGAAAATCAAAGAAATAGAGATGATTTTGAAAAATGTTATTGAAATTTTAGTACATCAATAAAAAAAATCGAAAAAATATCTTTATTCTTTATTTTTTCGATATTTTTAATTAAAGTGATATCCAGGATGAAAGAAATTTCTTTAAAAAAAGACTTATTTTTGTGGAATTGCTTTTAAAAGCGTTTTGTTAAGCAAAATGCTTTCCAGAATAAGTGAAAACAAGAGAAGAATGGCGAATTTTAAGGCTAAAAGATAAAATTCGAAGCTCGAAAGCTTTTCGGGGATAAGAATTACAAATTTTATAGAATCTATATGTTGTGTCCGATTTAGATTTCCGTCCGCTTTAGATTACAGTCTATATCGGACTTTCGATTCAGATTCAATCTAAATCTTATATTGATTGAACAATAATACGTCTTATATAGAATGAACAATAATATAAACGTGCTTAATATACAGTACTGGACAATGAAATATCATATTTGAAAAACGATCCTCACTTTCGCGCCTCTGTAACTCCGTTGTCTTTGAGTTTAAACTATTAGTGTTATACATTTTCTGAAAGCTCTTTTCAAGGGCTACACAATGGTAATAATAATATTTAGAAATATGGTATTTCTTGACGCATTTCAGCGCGCACAAGATGGGATACTCAAAATTGTTGATTTTTAAAGCTATTTTTCTTTATGATAGAGTGCTGGAATCGCTCTGAAACTACGATTTTCGGGATCTACGCAAAAATTCACCTTAGAATAATCAATCTTTGTAAAATTTTATCAAAGTTTCATAGCGAAAAAAGTCACATTTGCGAAATTCTCACTTCTTGAGCGGTTCTTTACAAAAATTGTGTTGCATGCAACTTTGAGTGTTTTTCTTTCTTTGCCTTGGGTAAAATGATATGCAGAAAACTACAGAAAACGCTTAAGAACATATATTAAGCATGTTTATATCATTGTTCAATCTATATGTCGTAGCCGATTATGAATGAGTGGGTCTAGGAGCGTCCATCCATCAAGTATTTGGTATCATTCAACGCAGAATCATTAATAATTATGTTAAATTTTTGAAATTAGAAAGATTGGATAAAAAGAAAAAAAATTATGGGGCCTCAAAGTTTCCTCTTGAACAAACAGTTTTTTTGCTCTAATTTTTTTTCTTTTTATCAAATCTTTCTAATTTCAAAAATTTAACATAATTATTAATGATTCTGCGTTGAATGATACCAAATACTTGATGGATGGACGCTCCTAGACCCACTCATTCATAATCGGCTACGGGGGTCCCGCCGATTTTGAATCAAAACGCTGTAGCGCCGGTAATTTTTAACCTAAACTCACAAATTTGGTACCAATCGACGCAGAATTTAATTCGCTACAGGATGAGATAATATTGTCCTCATACATTAAAGGGTTGCTCTACTAGAAAGATTTACCAAAAAATTTCATTCATAATCGGCTACGACATATATAAGATTTAGATTGAATATATAAGATTGAATCTAAATCGGACGGAAATCTAAATCGGACACAACATATATAGATTTTGAAAGGAAACGTCTATCAAAAAAAAACTCTAATTTTGATCGGAAAATCTTTGAATATTGAAAAAGATAAAAAAAGATAACTTTCAAGGCTTCTCAAAAACCATTCTTGTAGAGATGCTTAAGGTGTAAATGGGAAAACAAGTATAGAAAAGTTTTTTTCTTAAAAGAATCACTCAAATTTCGAATATTTGCTTATTCTATGGATTAATTTTAGCAATTCTTTGAAGAAAATGTGAAGAAAATTTAATCCGATTTAGAAAAAATGAAACAAATAAAGAGAAATCCTCAATACATCATTTGAAATAATAAAAGGATTTGGCAAAAGCTCTAAAAAAAGTGAAAATAATAACTAAATGGAGATTCGATTTTAGTTACCGTATTTTCTCGAATAGTAGTGCACTCTGAGCTTTGTCTAAATTCCTTGAAATCTCGAAAAGCGCTTATCAGAACCTAACGATGTGGATCGGAAAATGTAGCTGACGATGAGATCTTGTCCGAGCGCCCTAGCCCGGCCATCGGAGTATGATCGGCTACGACAACTACACTTCTGCCTCAGTAAATGTGGAAGCAGGTTGTGATCTGCGCTAAGTGCGAAGACAGATCAAATCATTATTATTATTATTATATGAGATCTTGTGGGAGATTTGAGTGTTGAGGTTCTGGGAAAGCTTGGAAACCTTAAAATAGTGATCAACTCAGCTCGGTGGGGTGCACTAATATTGGAGAGAAAGAGAATAGAGCAAACAGCTTTGGCAGATTATGGTAACATGGTGATACCTCTTTCTCAGGTATTTAATTTCTAGATTACAATAGTTTTAGCTGAATCGCCGAACCCCATATTTTCTCTAATAGCCCTGCACCCTGAGCGTTGCCTAAATTCCTTGAAATCTCGAAAAGCGCTTATCAGAACCTAACGATGTGGGGTCGAAAAATGTAGCTGACGATGAGATCTTGTGGGGGATTTGAGTGTTGAGCAAAAGCTCTTCTGTAAAAGCTTCAAAACCGTAAAATAGTGACCAACTCGGCTTGCCAGGCTGCACTACTATTAGAGAAAATCCGGTATTTTAAGGGTTTTTCAATGAATAAGTTAGAAAATTTTGGTTTTTCAATAAATTAAAAAAAAAAAAGACGATCAATACCCTAAAAAACGGTTGAATTTTTGAATGTTCTAATACATTTAAGATTACAAAATGACAGAGTTCTCTGGGTAATTAAAGCTTTAAAATGTCGAAGTTTGAATTCGAAAGCCCAAAAAAACACTGCTTAAAGTTGAAAAATTGAGAGAAATTTTTGCTATTTCAAAATATTATCATTGACAAAAATCTTTAATTCACATTTTTCTGAAAAAAGAAACTTTCATCGATAAACGTAAAGAAAGGGCAGTCATTTTGTTGAGATGAGGCACAAATTCTCGAGGGGATTTCACGAATTTCGACACAATTTCCTCATTTTCTGCTATTCTTCAAAATTTCTCATTGAAAATGATGGAAAAGCGAGAAAATGATTGCTTTGATTTAAATGGGATTCGAAAAAAGAGCGAAAAAGAGACAGAAATACATTTGAAAATCATTTAAAATGATAAACTGCTTTGTTGTTATCCAATTGCACAAACCTTTATGTGAACAGTGCCCTGACAACACGTGTACTCACTGCCCGGTGTTCCCGAGTACTCGTCCTCTATCACTAAATCAGAGTCCATTTGATTCATAGAATTCATAGAATTCAGTTCTTTTCCCATTATCTATTTTCGTTACCTTCTTTAACTTACAATATTTCTAAAAATAGATAAACATTGAACTAGGCTTATTATTGGGTTGTCCAGTTATGAATGCGCGTTTTTACTATTTTGTAAATTTCTCAAGACATCGAACAGATGTATATGAGTGTTATATACCATTCGAAAGCTGAAGATCTCCTCTACATTTTGGAATAAAAAGCTTTAAGATTTGTTCAACTTTTGGGCAAATTGATTGCACAAAGGGAGAGGTCGTTTTCGAAAAAAAACCCATTCCAGTTAAGCTATTCCTCAAGTAAATTTCTCAAGACATCGAACAGATGTATATGAGTGTTATATATCATTCGAAAGCTGAAGATCTTCTCTACATTTTGGAATAAAAAGCTTTAAGATTTGTTCAACTTTTCGGGGAAATTGACTACACAAAGGGAGAGGTCGTTTACCAAAAAAAACTTATTCCAGCTTAGCTATTCTTCAAGTTTTATCGTGTAAAATAACCGCCCAGAAAAGAAAAGATGCTCTGAAATTGTTATATTTAAAAAAAAAGTTGTATTGATATATCTATTGGTCAAACATCAAACGGTTAACTCAATTTGAGCGAAGCCAAAACTTGATCCAAAGGCACCTTTCCATTTTTTGACCAGTCAATTTGTTCTGTGCCATCAATTTGCCCAAAAGCTGAACAAATTCAAAAACGTTTTTATATCAAAATGTAGAGGAGATCTTCAGCTTTCGAATAATACTCATATATATCTTTTTCTTGATTTCGGTATCTTGAGAAGTTTACAAAATAGTAAAAAACGCGCATTCATAACTCGACAAACCAATATTTCATTTCAAAGTTGCGAATCTTCAAGATAAACTAATTAGTTTCCGAATTTATCTAAAAATCAATTAAATCTAAGTTCCAATTGGTAGATTGAAAAGAATGAATATCGCCGATCGATTCTCCGACCCCGAAAACCCCCCGGGTACAAATTTAAACCCAAATCTCTTCATTTAAAGTCATCTACAAAGGAAAAGAAAAATCCCTATAAAGAGATTTCTAAGTTTTATTTACTGTTAATAAACTAGGAGAGGTGATACGCTTTTGACATTGGATTGAGCTGCATAATCGCTCGCTATCTGGCAAACCGCTCGGATATACGGTGCTTCACTTTTTCGAATCTGGTAAGGGTAAGGAGAGGTGGCCAACGGCTGAGGCGGCCTACTTCCTTTGGGGGTCACTATGCCCGAATTTTGGCTGTACAAATTTAAATTTAAACAAATTAGGCATCCTGAGAAACTCAGAGTCACTTTTCAGGAAAATGAGAGCATTTTCTTGACCGTATTTTGTTGTAATACAGACAAAGCTTCGACCTTTTCGTTGACTGACCTATTCGATAGTCCTCACAACAAAAGCAGCAACGAATCTCCATTCCATTCACACGAAATGTTTGTCTAAATTGAAATCTTAATGACGATTATGAAATGCTAAAAGAAATTTGAGACTTTTGAGTGAAAAGAGTCATGCTTGATCTCATGATGGAAAAGCATTGAGGAAAGGGGAAGTCAAAGAAAAAGAGGCGCTTCAACACCTGTGTTCAACAAAAGATTGATAGATAGATAGAGCTTTGAAAATGATTTCACCAATTCGAAATTTTGTGAAATCTGGTTATTGCAATTCTAGGTTAGACAGGATAGGATTTTAGACAAGCCTGCTAGGAACAGTTTTAGATCTAGAGCCTTTTCCAGATTAGAAGATCAAAGCTGATTGTTATCAATTCTTAGACATCGAAAATTCTTGTTAAAACTAAACCTATAAAAGCTCGTAATCTTCTGCTAAGATCTCAATTCTTTTCCTAATCTTCTTTCACTCAAAAAAACTAGGTAACTAGAACAATTTCAGCTTGAAATTACCTAGTTTTTTGAGTGAAAGCAATTAGCAAAAGAATTGAGATCTTAGCTTAAGATTACAAGCTTTTATAGATTCAGTTTTAACAAGAATCTTCAATGTCTAAGGATTGATAACAATCAGCTTTGATCTTCTAATCTGAAAAAGGCTCTAGATCTAAAACTGTTCCTGGCAGGCTTGTCTGAAATTGTTCTGAAAGCTGAAATTGTTCTCATAAAAGCCAAACTTTAAAAAAACAAAGCTGTTGATCAGGGAATAGGCGAGAAAATCGAAAAATCGAAAGTTTCTTCAAAGGAAAAATGCGGAAAGGAAAATGATCTGGGAAAGAGAAAAATGAAGTGAAATTCGAGATGAATGGAAAGATCTTTTTGAAAGAATTCTTTAACTTTGAGTTCAGCGGTTATTTGGGGAGATTTCGATTTAAAAGCTTCCTAGAAAGCTCAAGTTTCGGCGTTGTTCACATGATTGGATCGATCGATTCCTACAAGCAATTTGAGCTTAAACTTGTTAACATTAAAGGTATTGCTTTGCTTTTTACTTATCAGTGATTCACTTTTGATTGATTAACTAGAAAAAAAACGACTTTTATCTAATGGAAAGCTAGTTTTTTTTGTCCTGATCAATCCTAGATCCTTAAACTTCTCCTCTTTTCTTGATGAAATCAATTTCATGAGCTCAGTGCCATTTCCTCAGTGCCAAAGTCAAGCCAGGTCAATTTAGAGCTATCTTCTGACAAGTACAACCTTTTTGTGGGTAAATTAAGCCAGGATAAGCCTAGAAAATTGTCCTTTGAAGACAATTTTCAGCAATGGTTATAGATTTTAAAATGATTGATATTCTTGTTATTGAAGTGATCATGACTTTTTTTGAGGAGGTAGTTATATTATTGAATTCAAATTTGATATATAAAGCTAAGAAGGGGGAAAGAAACTAGTATTAAATAGAAATAGAATTGTCAGCAAATGATTGGCATTCTTGTTGTTGAACTGAGCATCACTTTTTTTTAACATTAATTTGCACTTTGATCTTCTATATGCGAATTTCCTGGCACAGCAATGAATCGAGTGTTCTAGAAAGCATTTGTTTAGAGCCAGGTCAATTTAGAGCTATCTTCTGACAAGTACAACCTTTTTATGGGTAAATTAAACCAGGAGAAGCCTAGAAAAATCGGCTTGCTTTGAAGACAATTGTCAGCAAATCATTGGCATCCTTGTTATTGAAGTGATCATGACTTTTTTTTTGAGGAAATAGTTATATTACTGAATTCAAATTTGATATATAAAGCTAAGAATGGGAAAAGAAACTAGTATTAAATAGAAAAGTAAATTTAAATTTGACAAACTTCTTGAATTGTTGTGATCAAAGATCAAGAGAAATGAAAGAAATCGGTATTTTATAATCATGAAAATCTACTCCATTTCCTGCAAATCTGATCGATTTCTCTAAAGTGTTGGTGCCAATGAAAGAGAACGATTGGATGGACAAGAGAAGAGACAAGAGGATGGACAAGAGACAAGAGAGATCCAGAAGAGTGAATGATCAAGGAACGGATGTGGAAAGAGGTCAAAAATCAAGAAACCTCAAAAAAATGGGAACTTCTTTTTCTTTAAATGAGCTTTCCTTTCCACTTTTAGCACCCACCCCCAATCATTTGCTGTGCTCGTTTAAAACACTTCCTCTCTTAAATTTCCCCTTCAAAATTGACAACTGTTGATCGCGCTTTTTTCGATTGTCTGCTTTTGCACTATGAAAAGATTTTCCCGTTTTGAAAAACTTGTTTTCTAAAGTGAATTTAGATTAGTAAACTCTTGTAATTGTAAAAATGTAGATTTCCTTAACAAGTAAGCTCGTTGAAATCCAAGATTCCCAAGCCAGTTCAAAAGCCAATTCCACTTTTTCGGCTTAGCCAGTGCCTTTGGTTTGGGTTTATTTGAAAATTGAGGTAAATTAAGCAAGAAATAACTGGCTTGGTCTAAAAAAGTTGACCCTTTTGATCTATTTCGATAAAATCAAATCAAAAAAATTTATTAACACATTCACGACGATAGTCTGGTAGATGATAGTCTGGTAGATGAGAGTCTGGTAGATGAGAGTCTGGTAGATGAGAGTCTGGTAGATGAGAGTCTGATAGATGATAGTCTGGTAGATGAGAGTCTGATAGATGATAGTCTGGTAGATGATTGTCTGGTAGATGAGAGTCTGGTAGATGAGAGTCTGGTAGATGATAGTCTGGTAGATGAGAGTCTGGTAGATGAGAGTCTGATAGATGATAGTCTGGTAGATGAGAGTCTGATAGATGATAGTCTGGTAGATGATTGTCTGGTAGATGAGAGTCTGGTAGATGAGAGTCTGGTAGATGGGAGTCTGGTAGATGGGACTCTGGTAGATGGGAGTCTGGTAGATGATAGTCTGGTAGATGATAGTCTGGTAGATGAGAGTCTGGTAGATGGGAGTCTGGTAGATGGGAGTCTGGTAGATGAGAGTCTGATTTAACATTTACTAATAGTCATTCAAGAATTGTAGTTAAAATACAAGTATTCAGACGATTAAATGTATTTTTTAATAATATTGTTGAATGTAATAAATGTAGCAGAACCCCTAAGCTCTAAAAAAAGAAAAAAAATAACCATAAATCTAAGAGAATAACTACTAATGACGATTATTTTTAATCTCAACTCGTTTTTAAGGACTTTTTAAGGTTTTAAAGTGTAACTTTGTATTAGTTTTGAAGAGAAGATTCAAAGCTATCGAATGATTTCAATAGTTTATAGCTAGTTTATCTTTAAATTATCAGAATTATATTTGAATTATTGAATGATCATTAGATTTTCGATGAGACTTTCTCTGATCATTTTATTAAATTATCAGTAAAAGAGTTAACTGTACGCGACTGTACGCGACTGTACACACAAAATGCGATCGTGAAACCAATAAACCATACACGTTAATAAGGAATTCGACTTGTTTCTTGGTTCGGTTTATCTAGGTGCTTTATTTTTCGAATTTCATTGATCATTAGATGTTCGATGAGATCTTTCTCTGATCATTTTATTAAGTTAAGAATACTGATGGTTACTAGAGCAAAACACAACTGAAATCCCACATAATAGAGTACAAAAGTCATTAGATTATATGGTTTATTTTATTTTAATCATTCATTGATCATTAGCTTTTTGATGAGACTTTATCTGATCATTTTATTGGATTAAGAATACTGATAATTACTAGAGCAAAACACAACTGAAATCCCACATAATTAGAGTACAAAATTCTTCGTAAATCCACTCGACTTCAATTTCTGATTTCTTTCAATTCTGAATGACTCAGAAAACCAAAAATCGAGTGACCTTTCCAGAGATTTTCGTTCAAATCCACCTGTTTTTTTTTATTGAGCTTGCAAAGGATTTAAATGGCCTAGTGAAGAGAGAAATGTGAAGAGAAATGAAGTGAAGAGAAGTGAAGAGAAGAGAAGTGAAGTGAAATCATGAGAAATCAACAAGATTTTTAGTTTTATTGAGCTTACAGCTTACAGCTTATTGAGCTTATTGAGTTTTATTGAGCTTACAAAGGATTTAAATGGCCTAGTGAAGAGAGAAATGTGAAGAGAAGAGAAGAGAAGTGAAATCATGAGAAATCAACAAGATTTTTAGTTTTATTGAGCTTACAGCTTGCAGCTTATTGAGCTTACAAAGGATTTAAATGATCTAGTGAAGAGAGAAGTGTGAAGAGAAATGAAGTGAAGTGAAGTGAAGAGAAATCATGAGAAATCAACAAGATTTTTAGCTCTTTATTGAAAAAGTTTCGGAAAAATAGATCACTTGATCTAGATGATTTAAATTTTATTCTTTGTGAATTCCCTTTTCAAAAAAGATGAAAATAAATCAATTGTGGTGCGAAAGATTTACCTAGTGATCTTGTGAAGAGAGAAGTTGTTTTTTAATGAGCTGTTGGTAGTTGTTTTTAATGAGCTTACAAAGGATTTAAATGATCTAGTGAATTGAAGAGAAATCAGAAGAAATTAACAAGATTTCAACAATCAACAATCAACAAAAACAAGAACAACAAGATTCGAAAAAATAGATCACTTTTTAAATGATCTACCGTATTTCTTCGAATAGAAGACCGGGTAAAAGAGTATCATCGCGTACTCCTGCGTAGCAACCCTCTTTAAAATTTCTTTTCTACATAAAAGCTTTCAATGAAGTGCTATAGAGTTGGAAAATGGCTCAAAAATCTGTTAGCTCATGTGGTATTTTTGAGCCATTTTCCAGCCCTATAGCACTTCATTGAAAGCTTTTATGCAGAAAAGAAATTTTAAAGAGGCCTGCTACGCAGGAGTACGCGATCATACTCTTTTACCCGGTCTTCTATTCGAAGAAATACGGTAGATCATTTAAACTTTATTCTTTGTGAATTCCCTCTTCAAAAAAAGATTACAATAAATTAATTGTGATGCGAAATATTCAAGAAAACATATTTGTTAACAAGTTTATTAACAATTTGATGCACAAAATACGGTGTTTG